AGGTTATGAGGTGATGTGTTGGATGACAATCCACAGAGTTAGCCTTTTGAAATCACCAGTTGCTCTGTGGGTAAAAGGCTGGGCTTTCTACTCCTGTAGAGTGTTACCACCTTTCTACTCCTGTAAAGAGTTACCGTCTCAGAAACCCACATGGGGTCATCATGTCAGCATTGACCTGATAGTAGCAAAAATGTATTTTATTTATCCAATTGGATTTAGAGAAAACATAATGTCAGTTCTTGCTGGAGAATATATGGGCTTTGAAATAACTTACTCTTAAATCCTACATATGACATTTGCAGGTAGTTTATCTTTGGCAAGTTATTTAACAGTTTTCAGCCTTAATTTTCTTATGTGTAAAAACACGCAAAGATACCAAGTATGTTGAGTTCTTGTAAACATTAAATGATATTTTTATGGACAATTTCTAAAAATGTCTAGCATAATTTACAGTATCTCCCAAACCAAGTACTTTGATAATTCCTCTGTAGTTTTAACAGAAGCACAGCTTTGGGGGACAGAAGGGTTGGAATGTGAAATGGAAGCAAGCTCAGACACTCTTGTTAAAAACCCAGACTGGGGTGACGTGGAGAAGGAAAGCTGGCCCTCCACAGCTGCTTCCTCGGCAGAGTCAGGAAGAAAGACCAAACTTTGCAGCCTCTTTGTCCGTAGGACTCAGTGACATTCTAGGCCTTGGAGCCACGGCTCTCAGAAGTAGATGATGCTAATTGTTAAACGCTCAGAGAAACGCTCTGGGGTGCTGGACAATGCTCTAGTCTAGACATGCTCCAGGGAACAAAATCAAGTTTTGAAATTGATTGCATGGTCTTGCCTTCATATATAAGATCCCAGCTCTATTTCAAAATCCCCCTTAATTCTATAGCTTAATTCTATCCCCCTTAATACCATAGCTTCTGCTATAGTACCCATGCACCTACAACATTTCTGGAAACTGGATCTCAGCGCAGGGGCAAGGACACTGGCCGACCTCAAGGCCAACAGAAGACAAAGGTTTCCAACAATACAGCCTGAAGGTCAGAAACCATTGAACCCAACTAGCTGTTCTTTCCAGTGTGAGAGTGAAGTTCAGCAGTTTGCCCTAGGTCACATAGCTGATTTGTGACAAGAAAGGACACATTTATCTCATTCTCCTTCTGAAGTATTCTAGCATTTTTTCAATTATCCTTATATCTGAGTGGATGCACACAATACTACCTAGCGGACCCAATAGAGTCAACGAAGTTTAAACTGAGAGCAGCTAAGAGCCAAATACAAAGGAAAAGTTAATAGGTCCCCTAAGTGTCACCCATTTGCACAATGGTGAAAGTGGCGTCTCCAGAGGAGTTCCACTTGACCTCATTAGAAGTTCTGTGCACAGGTCAAGGGGAACTTATAAAGGGCTGCTTTCTCCTCAGTTCGCATCTGACTGTTTTTCAATATCACAATGTAAAGGAGTATTTCCACTCTAGCTGTTCTTTCATGTTAATAGTCTTTGAAAGCTCATGCTGGCAGTATGAAGGACTGTAATTAAGAAGTGATTTTTAGGCAGAAGAGTACATTCCAACTATTATATAAAAAGAAAGAAAGAAAACACAAAGTTACGTGGTAAGAAATCCTTTTCTGAATTATTTTGATAACCTAAAATTTAGAAGCCAATAGCCCTGTAAGGAAAACTTTTAGGTAACAATTAACTGTGCTTTTGTGCAGGTGAGCAATTAAAAATATTGCATAAAATATGCACTAATCATTATTACTGGAACAGGAGGAAGGAAATCATGCTCCTCTGTGATTGCATGCAGTGTGAACTTGTTGATTCTAACAAAAAGCCCCCAAATATCCCACCTACCACATTGAATTGCAGAAAACTGTCAAGCATCTTAAATGCCGAAATGTTTTGCAGGCTTTATTTTATTGAATATGCCAATAAACAACTTAGCACTAAAATCGTTTCAAGTAGAATTTAAAATTTTAAGTAAATTCTATTTTTATACATTCATATATACTGAGTTAACAATAAAGACAAACATTATATATACACATACCCATGCACACATAGATGATATTATTTCTTAAGTCATGTGGAAAAACCATGTGAGAGCAATATAGCCCTAATGAAAATGTTATGAAAAGAAGGTCCAATGGAAAGAGAAAGTAAATTTGGAACATGAGTTCTAGAGCACAGTTCTGTAAACATGGGAGAGATTTCTGAAATACTTCCCGTATTGTCATTCTTGGAATCTATGTGATTTGTCTAATCTGTGATATAACTCTGCTATATCATTCTGAGCATATGGCATTAATCATGAGCCAAGCTCTGAGGATTTGTCATGTAAGCAAATGATAGCGCTGTATCAAACATGACTAACAGCAATTTTGTAGTAACTAAATGGAATCCCTTAGTCCAGACACTTGATAGATGAAGAAATATAACAAAGAAATGTTTGCTGAGCTAAAATAGCTTGTTACTAATGGAATTAGAAGTAAATTGAAATCTCCTAACTTCCAATTCTACATGTTTAACGGATGCAAAATTTGAATCCAGTTTCACATTTTAAGAATTGATTCAATAATGTTCCATATCAGTCTTTGGTACGTTATATTAGTTATTCTTAGCTACGTATCAGTGCTAATTGTTGGTGATGTATATAAGCAACTCTTTTCAGGAGAAGCTTATAGCCCCATATTTCCAGTGTTGAATAAGCTGCTAAATGTAAGTATTGAAATGCTAACCACAGGATCCATGATGATCTAAGGGGGATCCATGTTGACCTAGGAGAGAAAGATGAGGCCATTTGATTTACAGCCTCCTAAACATTATACAGAGTAATCAACAGTAGGAATTGTCTAGAAAGCAGTGAGCTTGGTTTGGGCCTTTCTAGAGCTATAAATAGAACATGAGGTAAGAGTTTGTTGTCCATATGGTATGTTCTTTACCATCGCTAAAGCTGGATCTCTGGTGATACCTGGTAGGTTACATGTTGGGCTGCTAATCCCATGGGCCAACAATCCCATGGGGAGAATGAGTTCTACTGCCTTGTAAAACCACAGGGACAGCTCTACCCTGTCCTGTAGGGTCGCTGCGCATTGGGATCTACTTGATATCCGTGGGTGATCACGATAGCCCCGGCTATTTGGACACATAATTGTAAAGAAGCTGAAATCTTGTGCAGTTTGACTATTTGACAATGTTTCTGAAGGGCACTGAGGGAAGGAGTTTTAGGTTCCTTTTTGCCCCTTCCTGGATGCCTCCCCACAGTGAAGCCAGTGACCTCTTCACCGATACCTCCCTGAACCATCATAATCTAGTCAGAACCAAGTCTGGGTCTACTTTACCTTCCAAGTACTTACTATAGCCATTCATGTTTATAACCACTTAGAAAGATCAGGTCAAATATACAGCACTTTAGAGCGAGACTACACAACCCTCTGATAGGAAAAATGGGATTATTTTATTACAATGAATTTACCTTAGACTTAAGACTAAAAATGGGACAGGATTGCAGTACTTTGCCATGTTTTTTTGTTTGTTTATTTTAACACACATTAGTGAAAAGGAACAAAAATATGTGCCCTTACTTATTTGATATTTCAGAGACATTAATGACTGAAATATAAATCTTTTCATCTTTTACAAGGAGATTAGAGCAAGGGGAATAGTCTGTCAATGAAACTTGAAAATGCAAATACATGTTTAATTTGAAATGAAGTCAAAAAACACTTTCAAAGTAATTAACTTAAAATGTTCTGTACCCAAACAGAATTTTACATTTATAAGGCTAATGGCAAAGCTAAACCTTAAAGAAAAAGTTTTCATTTGTAATAGCATCATTTTGATTTTTCTGAACTATGTAGATTTTATAAAATCGCATCTTTGAACATCTGACTCTCGCGTTAATCTTCTAACACAAAAACTAAAGCACACTGTGACTTTTCTACTAGGTATATGATGGAAAAGATAGTTCATCACGCTCACTGGGAGCCTTCACAAAAAACGAACTTATGGGACTGGTCCTCAATAGCACTTCGAACCACCTATGGCTAGAATTCAACACCAACGGGTCTGACACTGACCAAGGCTTTCAGCTCACATACACTAGTAAGTAGCATTGAGATAATATTTTGTTGTCAGCTAATACCTGTTATTTGGCTAATCTGATCTATTTTAAATTGTTTTCATATCTCTAGTTGTGTTTTTGGTGTAATTAAATGTTTAATACTGTCGAGCAGACAATAAATTTAAACACAATACTATGGGCAATATTTTGAAACATCTATTTAGAGATATTATAGTTTAATTATAAAATTGCTCAACCTGAAATAAGCTGCATATTTAAGAATGTTTATTGTGACATAATATACACTGAAAGTAATTCACTTATGTATAGTATACATGCATATATGTACATATACATGATATAACACACTTATATGTGATATACATTATGTATAAGTGAAAGATTTATAAGGAAATGTTAATATTTTAAATAATAGCTATTAAATATATCACAAATGGCATTGTTTTTATAAAGCTGAGGAAATATAACTAGAATGTGTTTGCAGAACCCAAATTTTATAAATTGTGGGAAATATGCTTACATGATGGCTAATAGTGTTACAAAATATATATTCCACATAGGGGCATAACTATAATTACATGTATTTACTAATTACTCCCATGTAGAAGGGAGTAATTAGTAAAACTCCCTAGTTTTACCAGTACTATTTCTAGATGGGAAATCTAAACCCAAATAATTTAAATACCTTGTAGAAGATAATAGGTATATTAGCTAATGGAACTAGGATTCTATCTGTAACTCAAAGTTTTAAGAAATGTTCTATAGTGTTTCCTATTAATCTAAATTGATATAGAATGTGGTTTTCAAAAACAGATATAAAGAGCAAGAAAAATAAAGAAATTAAGTTGGATTGTCAAGGAAAAATTTAGCATATGATGATTGTCATATTCAATATATTTTAGTTCTAAATAAATATAATGAACATTCTAGCTATGTGGTGGGGATAACTAATTAAAATTAATTAATCAATTAAATGGAATTCTTGAAAAAATCTAACAGTCCAATTCTTCAACAGTTTTATGGTTAAAAAGCTTTATGATGCCCAATACCATGACTTAAAATATTAAAAATTTGGATTTTTGAGTCTTAAAGTATGTTAGTGAATATCAAAACTAATCCCTTTATTTGGAAGATGAGCAAATGGCAGTCTTGGCTAATAGAAATCATCTTACACACACAGAGCTAATCCAGGTGCCAACGAAGTTAATTGCTTCAAATATCCCATTGGTGGGAGAAATTACAGTGATAAGGCTTTGGGCAAAAACAGGATTAGAGTGACTGGCATCATGGACAACCAAGGTTTTACTTTTGTGAAAGTAACCATTTAAAAGACTCTGTAAGAGAGTACACATAATAAAACGATGTTTTAAAAAGAGAGAATACATATGAATGACATTGCTTGGAGACTAAAACTGTAACCATTAAAATTATAAAATTGGATATAATTCTAATTTTCTTAACTGCAATCCCATGTTTTGACATTTTACCCTAAAAAAATTCCAAAGAACTTTGTAAAAAACAAAACAAAAATGCATTCTACATTACTTGTAGATAAAATGTATACTTTTTCAGTTTTTGTTCCTTTTGCTCCTGTTTTTCCATGAATAAAGAGGGAACAGATCACAAGGTCTACATATAACCTCCTCCCTGGGAGACGGACAGTGGAGAAGTGGGTGAGGGAGACGTAGGACAGTGTAAGATATGACAAAAAAAAGAATACTTTATAAATGATCAAGGGTTCAAGGGGGAGGGGAGAGCAGGGAGAGAGGGAAAAAAATGAGAAGCTGATACTAAGTAGAAAGCAGGTGTTTGGAGAATGATGATGGCAACATATGTACAAATGTGCTGGACACAATTGATGTATATATGGATTGTGATAAGAGTTGTATGAGCCCCTAATAAAATGATTTTAAAAATATGTTCAATATTTTTAAAATGTTATTTCTTAGATATGTTAATTAACAGTTTCTAGATACTGTACTACAGTCTAAACACCATCGGTGAATATGAATATTGGAAAAGGAAAACTGAACACTATTTACAAAACCTTGTGAGTTTTATATAAGGAAAAGAGGTATATTTGTGCCTAAACATTTGTCCAATTCTTTTGCCGCTAAATATATTCTTTGTAGGCTGAGCTTTGGCTTATTTTAGTTGCAGTAAGGTGATGCTGTCAGGTAAGCCTTGAGCTTGATTTGGTTTGGAGTAGGCTTATTGTAAGGCAACTTGACAACTCAGCGGCTAAGCATTTGGCTGTTCACCACACGGTCAACCGTTGGAAACCACTAATTTCTCCACATAAAAAAGATTTTGTAGTTGGCTTCTTTAAAGATTTGCAATCTTGAAAATCCTAGAAGGTAGTTTTGTCTGCATTACAGCATCATTATGAGTTGAAAGCAACTCCACAAATAATCGATTGTAAGACTTCTGCCACACATAATCAGCAAAGAACAGAATATTTAGGCCTGGGCTCTCTACTTTCCCCTCTGTTCATAATATGCAATACTATTCCATATCTGGAGGTTATGAAACTCAGCATAGCCTCTCCCAAGACTGCTTTACAGAAAACATATAATACTTAGCTCTATTTTATGTCTCATTATGTTGCTAACTGTAAATACTACTTCCTGTTTTCCCTACAGCTATTTTCAAATGGAATAATTGATTCATGGACATCTGGTTTGATATTCTTATAGTTGTGCAAAAGATGTTCAAACGTAAATTAGCATATATGGCAATTTCAAGCAACTAGGTTTATAAGTGAGGGAAAACTGCCAAAATGTTTCCAGAATCCAGACTTCTTCTTTACTATGCAAATTACAAGTGGAAGGCCCACATGCTCTAGAGACCAGGTGACTGCATTGAGATCAACTGTAGGTTTAGTTTCATCAGTATGTTGTGCACATCCTCCCTCATCAAGAGGAATTGCTTCATTTCATTACCCTCAGACCATACTGGAACCATGCGGCTCTTTTAGTCCCAAACATCTCCTTTGTCTAGCACAGCTTTGAGATGTTCACCAAATAACTTTGAGAAGCAGCTTGGATTTGTTGATCTATATAGGCACAATTTTTAATTATGTGGAATTTTTTATTTCATAGAAATACAAACTTTGGGAAAAGAGAGGAACTACTGAAGATAGTTGAGGGTTGACTTTTTAATTATAGTCAATGGACAAGAATAGTTTTTGATATCTTCCCTGCTACTTCTCTCCTTTTCACCCACCACAAATACACAGGTGCTCCTCAGGCACAAGTGGAGCTTGCAGCATTGTCTTAGAGCTGGAACAGAGTATGAGATGGTGAAAAAATACCAGTCGCATAGAAACAATAGTACATATGACTATCTAATCAAATATACATAAAGGCATGGTTCTTGTTTCCACATCAGTGGTTGAGAAATTCACATTTAACACTATGAAAATAATGTGAAGATATAATTAATTGTCCTCTGTAGTATGGCATGGTTCTATAAATATTGTAGGAGTCAGTCAGAACCCGATTCATAGTGATCAATATACTTGTAAATCATTTGCAGCTATTTATCTTTACCTGTGTTTGCTCTATTTCCCAAAATAAATTAAAGTTTCTTATGATATTATGTGTGTTTTATATTGAGGATATAGAATAATAATTTTATGTTATTCTATTAAAATACAGTTAAACTAAAAATTGGTAAATTGTTGTTTATCAATTATTAAATTGAAATAATTTATAATTGCTATGAAACCTGCTCTTTTCCAAGACTTTTTTACAAATTAAAATAATATTTGATAAAGGCAAATAAGTAAAAGTCAGGGATAATATTTCGGCAAAGAAGATTGAGTGAAAATGTGGAGTTGTCTATGGTCTTTAAGTTCATCAGCTCATTAATATAAAAATTTTTAATAGAATGGAGAATGTATATTGAAAAGAATTAGAAAAAGAAAATTAGCTATCTGGAAACCTAACTATGAACATCTTGAAAAAATAAGTAGATCAATTGATTATACTTAGGTAAGATCAAGACAGGTCTTTCTGGGTGGTACAAATTATCAAATACTGCACTATGAACTTACCCAGAGGCTCCCTCAAAAATAGGCCTGGCAACTTCTTAAAGGTCACACTGTTGAAAACCCTATAACACAGTTCTACTCTGCACACATGGGTCACCTTGAGTCCAAAAAGCCTAGCAGGCAACTAGCAACAAGATCAAACTAGAGTCTCTGATAGTGTATGAACAAGGAGAGTACATGGAACAATTAGGTTTCAAGACTCGTAAGCTGACAGTGATATAAAGGTTGGTCCCTGGAAGATTATAACTTCAAAGTGTTCTGTGTCATTGCTCACTGCAAGTGATTTGGAAAGAAACAAGATTACTTGCTGCCTTTTCTATTAATAAATAGACCTGAGTGAAAAATAGTTAATGATTCTCATTCACATTTTCATTAGCCAGATTGAACATATTGCATATCTTTTGAAAAGAAAAAAGAAAGGAAAAGCTTGCTCTGGAGGATAGTAGGATGCTCAATAGTCACAGAAGAACAGACACATGGAAGCTTTGGTAGTGACTGTTTGAGATACCTCTGGCCAATGGGATTGCTTATATTGTCTAATTTCATTGGGAAAACTAGTACCAATATGAAGGTGAACTAATCAGGCCAACCTCCCTCTCTGTATATTGAGCGCATGTCATTTCCTTCCCTCTCTCCGGCGCCGTGCTCACCATAACCTGTCCTCATTAGGAGCTGATGTCAGTGCAGCTCTTCCAACGGGTAAAGAAGGGTTTATGAATGTTGACATCGGTATTCTAGTACATGGAATGATCACATTGGTGATGTGAAACTAGGAAATTGGACTTCTGGCATTATGTTTCAGTCAGATGAGTCTTCTAATGAAATGAACCTACTTTGGGTGTGCTGATTGAATCAGATGGCTGATCTTACAAAGCCAACCTCTTGCGTGAAGTCACCTAACCGTTTTTCTCAGAGTAAGCCCGTTCCCTCTTAAGTTTGCGAGCCTCATTTGCTTTTTCTTTCAAT